CAACTAATGAACTCAAGAAAATCAGAACTCTGAGATTTGGCTCCTTCTCAAAGGTCTTCTTGAATGAGTACGTCACATCGGCAGATCTTCAATGGAAAACCAAATCTAAATATTTCCCGCAGTTTCAGTGTAACTAAAGTAAGAAATAACCCCATCCCCAAATGTCACAGAACACGTTTAGTTAGTTGGCAGGCTCTTTGGGCATCCCTTTCCCAACCTTATCCATTGCCAGTGGAGATGATTTCAGTTCTCATGTGTCTAGTAATCCATTCCAACCTCCTTTCCCCTGTGTGGCAACTGAGGAACAAAGAGATGGCTGTGGCCCAGTGGTGGTATTCAATTTTTTTTACTAGTGGTTCTATGGGCATGGTTTGGTGGGCCTGGTGTGGCCTGGTGGGTATGATTTTGTGAGCATGGCAGGGGAAGGATATACTGCAACATCTCTATTTCCACCCTACTCCAGGGGAAGGATACTGTAAAATCCCCATTCCCTCCCCACCCCACTAACCTGCTTTCCAGCTCCGTACTCCTGTGCAGGGCAACCAAAGAAGACCCAGCCAATCAGTTGGGACTCAAGAGGTAGAGAATAGATGGGGGCGGGGCCAACCAGAGGTAGTATTTACCGCTTCTCCGAACTACTCAAAATTTCCGTTACTGGTTCTCCAGAACCTAACAGAACTGGCTGAATGCCACCTCTGCTGTGGCCAGGTTCAAGTCAAAGTTGACACAGAGTCTGTCCATCCTTAAGCAGCCACTGGAGATGAGCAGTGTCAGAATAGCCGATTATTATATATCGATTATTGGGAGGATAGATTTTTTTTCAAATACCTCTATAGAAAGAGCACTGAAGGAGCGTGTCCCCCTCTCCTGAGATACAGGAGCATAGTCTTTCATTCAATGGTATCTTTTTATGGCACAGGACAGCCGATGGAAGCACATGGCAGCTAAAAATTCTAAAACTGCTAAAGTTTGACGTTCTGACTCGGGGGAAAATGTCCACCTCCCCCAGCTGAAGGAGCGCCCCATCGGGAGAATGGAGGTTGCAAGATGTGTAAGATCTGAGAATGTTGGAAGCAATGCCAGAGATTATGATACTGTCTACTCAAGAGAAACCTATTGTTGATGGGATAACTCAGGTAGCAAACTGTAGTCTGTTTCTTGACATGTTTCCAGTGCAACAGAGAGGGGGCTTGGGTCTTATGTGGGGATGCAGGAGACAGCTTGCAGCTGTTGGGTGTTTCTGTGACTGCTTCAAAACTTCTTGTTGTTGTATTCCAGTTTTCTAATACATCTTTTCAGTTCTTCCTGATTTTGGTCTTCCACAGCATGGTTTCTATTGCTGACGATCGAAAGCATAGTTTAAAACATTGGGAGATGGTGTAGAACACAATTCGATCCCTGTCAGACCTGAAAGATCAGGTCCAAACATGAAGTTTCAATTAAGCTGATTTATTGTTGTAAAATCTATGCATAGGACTTTTATTTGGTTAATGTGATAGTTTTTGCTATTTTTCTCTTTGGATGTGTTTGTAAACATTTGAACAAATGCTTGCATTGTAAAGGGAGACCAGGATGTATACACCTTTAATAAATAATCAAAGCACTCTATGCAATACTATTTCATTTTATGCACACGAGAGCACACCAAACCACAAACCAGCATCTCCAATGCCCATCTATCCACCTGTAGTCTGAGACACGGGGACAATTTTTGCCCCCGCAGCTGAATCTGCTGAATGCATAAGGCACTCTCTTCTATTCATTTCAGAGAACTTCTTTATCATCTTCATCCCTTTCCTCCTATCAGTAGCTGCCATTAGTTGGGGTGTATCAAGGTCTTAGAATCGTTATTAATTCATATTTTGGACTCTTAGGATTATGAAGTATTAGAGAATGGAAGTGCTGAGACAAAATGCTCTCATCCGCCAGCTGTCATGTATTTAATTAGAGATTTTGATGAATCCTCCCTTACTTAGAAGTGCTGGATTAAGAGGACGGGAGGTGGGGGGAGACTCCCTGCCTGCAAAGTCTCAAGGACTCTTGCTTCTTTATATCTGGGGCTGCTGACTTATCTGTCTTAAGTATTAGACCTTGCAAAGAGTTGGCTTCTGAGCCCTGACACTGCGTTTTTAGAAAGAGTAGAATGTGTGCTTATACTGCAGAGAGGTGAGGAAAGAGCCGAGATAGGTGGGAAATTTATTGGGCTAAAGTGAAATTTCCTGCTTAAAGATAAACCCAACAGGAGTTTTAGAGGTGTTCTGACCGAGGCTTCCCAAAAGCACGAAGCTGACTCCCAATAAAACCCCTTTTATTTAGATTAAAGTGAATTCCTCTCCAGCAAAGTCCTGGCCAACAGTCTTTAAAAAGATTTCACAATTACAGATCTTTATCAGGCTGGGAGAGCTGCCAGGCCAATATCTTCCAAATGTAACTCTGTAGCAGACAATACTTGGCAAGAAGTCAGGAACAGATCTTCACTCTAATGAATTGAACTAATTGTCACCTGCAAAGCCCACTCCCCTTTCACTCCTCTTTTATACTCTAGGAGAGGGGCCATTCACCATCCACCGGTAGCTTTACTCCCAAGTCGACCCTTGTTCCTTAGCTGTTCCCTTCTCCTGGCAGCTCTGTGCATGTGCACACTGGTAACAGGCCCCAGCTGTTCTTCTGCCCCACTGATGTCTGACTCCGAAGGCAGCTGATACCTGTCAGATGGCTCTGGCCCCATCTTAGCCTCCGACGCAGAGCACTCATCAGAGCCTTCCCCAGACTCCAGTCCTGGCCCATGTTCCTCCCCAACCTCCTTACTGTCTGAGTCTCCTGCCAGCTCTGCTGGCCGCTTGCAGGCCACAACAAGGGAAGGAGAGCAAGTACAAAGTCTTCAGTCCTTTTCTCTGAACCATAAATATGAAGGAAGGGCAGAGCAGCCTGAATAAGCGTCCTTTGCCTGATGATTTATTTGAGGCATGTCATGTGTCAACCTCATTTTTCAGAATGAATTAGAAGAATCAAGCATAGATGCTCATTGGTTCAGACATCTTGTCATCTTCCGCTGCTAGGAGACTTGACAGGCAGGGCGCAGAACAATTGTCGTCTTCCAGGGTGGCTTGTGAGGAGCTGGAATCCATTCTAATGGAGAAGGGTCCCTTAAATGAATTCTGTCTTACAGATTTGGCTAGCCTGAACTGGTGCCACTAAACATTATTCTTGAAGGGAGGGGAAATGTGTAAAGATTGAGCCAGAGCTGTATGAAGACCTCAAGTTGACCATCCCTGTACCAGCCAGGTCATAAGGAGAGGGGTGTCATTTTAACCTCGTTATGAGTGCGGCTCCCTGCAACGTTTTTGGGATCATAGAGAGAGCTATGCTGAGAGGTATATAAAAGGAGATACAATTTGTTTTGGAAGATCTAGAGAGTGTGATGGCCTGGGGCATGGCACAAAGGCAACACAGTCAGATAATCAATAAGAGTCCCTTTATTAGCTCCAACTTTGCCCCCAATGTCCAGATAGCTGGAGAAAAACTCTCCCAGGAATAGTCTTTGACTACAACAAATCAAGTCCAAAACATGGTCAACACAAACTGTAACTATAAATCTTATCAAGCCAAACTGAGGTTTGGTAGGGCAGGAGCAAGGCTTCCAGATGTGAAGGCACGGCAAAACTCACATGGTTGGGAAGACACCAGGAATGCAGATAAGCAAAGACAGCACAGGATAAAGTCACATTTACTCCCAGCAGCTGCCGCAGTCAGCATTCAGTTATTTTAAACTTTCATTCCCAGGTGTGGCTAATGAAGGGAATCAGGGCCCTTTCCTCCCCTGTAAGCCACGCAACCCATGTTGCTCTCTTCTCCATTCCTCCCTGCATGCCCTAGGATGAAGAGGGTCTTCCTCTGAACTCCCTCTCCCTTGTTCTATCTCTCCCCAGCCTCCTCCACAGCCGACAGAGCCATACTCCCACTCCCTCAGATTCAGACTCTGACAGGGGCATGGCAGTTGCAGAGATCAAGGAGTAAGGTGGATCTGACCAGGGCTACAGTGGTATCCCCAGAGTTGTTGGCACCATTTACTATCTGATTTCAATCTTCGATGCTACAGTATGGAAGGATGCCACAATTCAACCCCGAGCTACAAATATTCTCCTCCACTGGATTTTTCTGTTACTGGGAGTTTTATCATCTTACTAAAGTCTGAGTCATACCCATTTTGGAGTGGCTCAGAATTGTCATTACTTTGGGCTTCAATCATTTTCTTTCTGCTTCTTGGATTGGCCAACCTCAAAACTTTACTTTCTTATATGGAACAGCAGTAGCAATAGCATTTAGGCTTATATGCCACCCCATAGTGCTTTACAGCACTCTCTGAACAGTTTACAATGTTGGCATTATTTTCATATCATCCCCCAAGAAACTAGGTCCCCATTTTACTGACCTCAGAAGGATGGAAGGCTGAGTAAACCTTGAGCTGCTCAGGATCAAACTCCAGGAGGTGGGCAGAGTTTGCCTGCAATGTTGAACTTTAACCATTGTACCACTAGGGCTCTTTATTATAATATACTTCTAGGCAGCTTTTGAGAACACAATGGGGCAGTTTGCCTCTGAACACTGAATATGAATCAAGCTGTATTTTTAAAGTCTATATCACTGGGATCGGTTTAAAATTCTTGACACTGAATGAATACATGCTAGGTTGGTGGTGAACCCAGCATGTACTTTTTAATAATGGAGGAAGGGAAGGTGATAAATAGACCATTGGTTTGAGCTTCGAGCTTAGCAATTTGGTTTGCTTAAGTTTCGTCACCATTCGAGGAAACATCGTCATTGCGTTTTGAATTGTGCCAGTCTGTCAGAACACAAATCTCTAAATACCTTTTTATGTGATTCAAATTAGCCTGATTGTTGTTTGTTCGGATATTTCTGAGTCATGGTCTGATTTCGGACTGTTTGATTAGCTGGCTAGTGTTTCTGAGCTGTAGTTTAGTATTGTCTGTGTGATGCAGATTAGGATTGTAGTTGTTCTCTGGTTGTTCCTGAGTCACAGTCTGGTTTCAGCTTATTTGATCGTTTGAATGGCTGGCTGTTGTTATTGAGACGTGGTCTGATTTCCTGTGAGCCAATGAGTTCAAATCATGGCTTAGAAATATCCAAACAATATTCAACATTTAGAAATATCCAAACAAACAACACTCAGACTAGTTTGCATCTCATCAAAAGGTATTTAAAGACCTGTGTTCTGACAGATGAGCACAACTCAAAATGCACTGACAATGTCTCCTCAAATGGTGAAAAAACATTTGCAAACCAAATCGCCAATCTCGGAGCTCAAACTAACAGCTTAAACTACCAACCCGAGCTACTAATATTCCAAAACATCTCAAAATATGATAAATGCCATTTTTTCTCCTTATGCCAGCCTGCTCCTTTGCAGCATGCCTGGTCCTGTGGCATTGAATCTTACCGGGCCAGCATGCTTCAACTGATTAACTATCTTGCCAAGTTCAAGCAACATTTTTGCAAATGGAAATGCAAATGCTTATTTGTTAAAGTAGGTTTTTGTCAGTCCCTCAACATAGGCACAGCAGGGTTCCAGAAGGCTTGCTATTATTTTAGAACACAATAAAAGAATCATGAAAGCCTGTCCAAATTTTTCTCCATCCCATCTCATACCGAGATAAATCAAGGCGAATTTATTTATTTATTTATTTATTTTGGTGATTTCTGAATGTCCTCCCTTAATTATCGATTCATTGTTTTCCCCTTCCTCCTTTTCAACGTATTTCTATTAGAGTAGCAAACTTTCCTCCAAAAAACCTAGCCAACGTTGAACTAAGCAAGATAAGGTCTGACTAATATTGGAGTGGGAGATTAGCAGAAAATATCAGAATTGCAGGCAAGACTGTTTTTTTTTAAATGAAAATGGCAGTGGGGAACCATTTCTATATTGTTGCTAAGAAACCATATTGATTGTTCATGGAGTTGTTCAACTTGATTTGGGAGGAGGGCATCTTGACCATTGGTTCAAATGTGGTTTTCTAACAATGGTTTACTGGATAATTTGGAAGCAGATAGGCCTATCTTTTTCCCAGTCCAACTATCTCTTCTTTAAAATAGACGCTTTCAAAAATATTCTTTTGTGAAACCCTTCAAGAACTACCAAGCTGAAATTTAAATGTCCTTTTCAAGGTTCTACTATCCCTGTTCTTTTCCAATCAATTGTATCTCCCAAAATGAAACAGCTGCAGAGATTTTAATGCATCCCCAATTAGAACTACAAATAAACCTTTCTTTTTGAAATCAAAGTTGAAATTTTGAAATGGTTTGAATCAAGGCCGTTTGTCCTTGATTTGTCCCTGCCAACTCAACTCAAATATAATCATACTGTATCCTCTTTGAATCTCAAATCTCCAGTTCAAAACTAATCCAGGCTGATTCACCTTGGCCTAATCCTTATAAGACAGGAGAGAAACAATTCAGGTAGTTGACATATTAAATGATATTAACTGAGTTTGTAAAGAGATCTTGCTTGCATCTCTCTTGTGTGCCTCTCTTAGTCATTGGTTATTTATTTTATCTTTTATTCATTAGATTTTTATCCCACATCACTTCAAGATAGGGAACATACATCATACGCCTTTCTCCTCCTAGTTTCCCCACAACAAAAGCCCTGTAAAGTGGATTGGTGAACTTTTTAGAATGAATGAGCTGAGAATGATGCCTTCTAGTCCACCCCCCTGATCAAGCAGGATAAGTGACTGTCCAGTCTCTTCTTAAAAACTTCCAGTGATGAAGCACCCTTAATTTCTGAAGGAAAACTGTTCCACAGGTTAATTGTTTTCACTGTTAGGAAATTTCTCCTTAATTCAAGGTTGCTTCTCTCTGATTAGTTTCCAACCATTGTTTCTTGTCCTGCCTTTTGGTGCTTTGGAGAATAATTGAGCTGAGTTCAACCCCAAATTACTAGCTGGCTTTCATGCCTAAGGCAGGACTAGAACTCCCAGTCTGCTACGATGGTAGGATTCAAATCGTTTTACCACTGGTTCGGTGGGCGTGGCTTGGTGGGCATGCTTTGCCTAATGTCGATGCGCAGCTTTCTCCACACCAGCTGAGACCTGCACTGCCAATCAGCTGAGAGGAGAAAAAAGAGAAAAAGCACAGGGTCAGGTGGGAGGGTTGATTTTGTGCTTCTCTCTTCTTTTTCCTCTCAGGTGATTGTCCGAGGATTTGTTTCCTCCACTCAGTTGATGTCACCTTTTTTTTACTACCAGTTCAGCCGAACCGGTCCAAACCGGTAGTATCCCACCACTGGTCTGCTAGTGATTGGCCCAAAGTCACCCACCTGGCTTTCATGCCTAAATCACTGTCTCTTGGTTTCTATGGAGCATCTTAATCAACACACCAAACTGGTTCCTTGTTGGCTCCATTATTGCTGCCACATGATAGTTAATGCAGAGAAGAGCATAAGGAGAATTACTTTTCAGCTAAGTTGATGGTTGCCCTGTTCTGTTTCCCATATCCCAGATCAAGCAGCAATTGAACAAGTTTGAAATAATGTACCATTCCTCGTAGCTCTCTCTCATTTTATAACTTGTCTCATATTTTCCTTTCTCCCATTCTTCATTGGATCCACTCAGAGTATGGGACAAGAAGAAAGCCAGGATTCCTATATCCAGTCAGGTTTTGCACCCTATTCTATACCCTAAATCCTGGAGGAATATGCCATTTCTCTGCATATCAAAGACTATCTCCGAATCCTTAATTCAAATTCCATTCTGAACTAATTAAAGAGAGACATTTAATCTTGCTGGCTCTGATTCAGCATCATTCAGCAGAACTAGCTTGGCAAGTCTTCATGGCACTTTGTTAGCTAATCAAAGACAGATTTTGCTGAGGGAAAACAAAACCCCATCTCTAAATTTATTAAGAGAATTAATAGACCGTTTCCATTTTAAGAGACTTAAGCACAAAGATATAGAATGAGGCAGCTGATCTCTATTACTTATCCCTTTGAACCAGAGTCAGCATGTAATGAAACATTGACATCAGGATTAGAAGTGTGGGAAGAACACACATAATGATATAATTCTGGATCATTAGGGAAATCAGGCCAATTGTGATACTGTTGTCCGCATCCATTTTTCTCATTACTTTTTTTTTAGTTGATTATAGTCTGACACCATGGTTGTGTCCTCATCCATAAGCATGTTGATCCTGTTCCCATGATACAAGCAATAACAATCATTGTTCTCCCAGTTAAGAGGTCTGGGAATAACCATCTTCTAGTTCTCCTAGGGAGGGAGGAACAAATGGGCAATGATTAAAGGCCTGGAGATTAAAATTTATGAAGAACGGTTGCAGAATTTTGAGTTTGGCTAATCTACAGAAAAAAAAAAGGACTAGGGGTGACATGATAGCAACATTTCAGTATTTGAGAGGCTCCTACAGAAAGAAGAAAGAAGGAAAAGCACCAGGGGGCAGAACATGAAATGATGGATGGAAACTAATCAAGGAGAGAAGCAACCTGGAATTGAGGATAAACTTTCTGACAGTGAGGACAATCAACCAGCATGCCCTCAGATGTTGTGGGTGGAGGTTTTTGAGAAGAGACTGGACAGTCACTAGTCTGAGATGGTATAGGATCTCCTGACTGAGCAGGGGGCTGGACTAGAAGACCTCCAAGGTCCCTTCCAGCTCCATTCTGATTGATTGATTGTTGTATACCTTTATGATATGAAATTGGGAGGGGGAATTGACAGTTGAGGAAAACAGAGCAATTTGGAGTCCATTTTGTAGTGGTGCACTGGAATCTTCAAGCCTGTTTGCCCCAAGTGTGGAATCCCACCAACCCAAAGACCTCATAGTTTCCTATAACATTTTGACAGTGGTGAATTTGGCTAGGCATGAATTAATCACAGGGGCGGGGGTGAGTTGGGGAAACAGGGATTTTATTTTTGTATTGGCATGGGGGAATTTTAGATTCCCCTTGACTCTCCTGCCATCAGGAACCAAGAGTTTTATTTTCTTAGGGGATAAGATTGGGGCAGCTGTGATAACAACAATGAGAAGCCCAAAGTGAAGTAGTCATAGAACTGGAGTAGATTATTTATTTGTTTGGTTTTTGTTTGTTTGTTTGTTTGTTTGTTTGTTTGTTTGCAATGGATCTTCTTGTTGGTGATCTGGACAAGCTTCCCTATGTAACACTAAACTATGCTGCATCCAGGGGTGGGTTTTCACCAGTATAACAACTGGTTCGGTGACCACACACTTAGCACATGCATGCTTAGCACACATGTTTGCCAAATGTGCACTCTGCGCATGTGCTTCCCATTTAAAAAAGCTCTAATACTTACCTTCTACAGCAGTCCCTGTGAATAAAACAGCTGAAGCGCGGCAAACCAATCTGCCACGCAAATCATCTGTGCTCTAAAAAAAAGGAATTAAAGCACAGGAAAGAACAGGGGCAGGCAGGCAGGCAGGCCTACAGGCTCGTCGCAGTGAGCTGCTTTCTGATTTTATACTTATTTTTCACTCTATTTTTTTTGAAGTTGTTTTTCCCAATCTTAAACTTTCCATTCTCTTTCCCCCCTTTCCATTTCCCCCCGCCACCTAAGATTACTTGTTCATTAAGGATGGCTTCTTCTTTGTCGCAATCTTCTTTCAGTTAGAATGTATCTTTTGGAAGTCTTGTTGAGATTTTGCTGTAAGTTTTTACTTCCAGACAGTCTCCTCCCTTCCAGATCCTGCCCTTTTATTCTTTTCCTCTCCTTTCCTGTTTTCAAAAGCTTTTAATTATCCGGAAATCTTTATTATCCCTTTGACTTTTTATTTTCAGCATTAAATGCCTATTAATGTCAAAGTGGATTTTTTTCCAGTTTCTTGCTTAAGTCTCTTAGCTGTCAGTATAGGAAAAGGAGAAAACCAAATCTTTTCCCTTTTCTCTCTCCTTCGCAGCTTAAAAATCTTCTTAGGGAATAATGTTGTTATATTTTTTTAATAGTTTCAATTCCAGGGTACCTTATTTGTTGCTTTTGCTGTTTGAACCGGTCAACCAAAACTTTCTCTTCTTACCTTCCTCCTGCACATTCTTTTCCAGTCGAGTTCTTCTTTGTGGTGGCCATTTCTTACCACTGCTACAACCGCCTTCGGGAAAGGGAGCAATGGCCAGCTGGGGAGGAGAGATACGGCTCTCCTCAACCCTGCAGGCAGTCTCCCCCCACTTCACCACCTCTACGGGGTGGCTTAGCCCCGAAACCAGTTGGCTCAGGGCACTCCAGTGGTGAGCATGAATCAAAGCCTCACAGAGATGAGATTGTGGTCTGTCGCTGAAGAAGCTCATACCAGAAGCCTCGGATCGGCTGGATCTTCTTTTGTTGCCCTGCAAAGGAAAACAGAGCTGGAAAGCAGGGCTAGTGGGATGGGGAGGGAATGGGATTTTGCAGTAACCTCCCCCTGCCATGCCCACCAAGCCACACCCATAGAACCATAGTAAAAAAAATTGAATAAGGAGAAACTTTCTGACAGTGAGAACAATCAACCAATGGAACAGCTTGCCCTCAGAAGTTGTGGAAGCGCCATCACTTGAGACTTTCAAGAAGAGATTGGACTCCCATCTGTCAGAAATAGTGTAGGGTCTCCGCTTGGGTGGGCGGGGTGGACTATATGACCTATAAGGTCCCTTTCAGCTCTGATTATCTGCTATCTGTTATCTGAATCCTACCACTGGAGTAAGGGGTTCAGCCAAACCAGTCCATACCGGTCGAGTCCCACCCCTGGTGGCATCACAGCTTTATCCAGGTACCAACTAGGACACCAACTAGGTTGGTAAGGATAGGCATTTCCCTTGCTTGACATAAACAAAACGATCTCTTCTGCTTCCTGCTTCTGGTTCATCTGCAGACCTTCAAGGTTATAACATACACACAGCATAGCATTTATAGGCCCCAAACATCCTCCCAACTCTGTCATGAAGCACTGGATTAACATCCTTTGCTCATTAATAAATGCAATTAAAGAAGGATGAAATAAATGTAGGAGGCATTATCTCGTTTGCATTCAAAATTTAGGCAGATTTCCAAGATGTTTTCCTGACATCTTGCTCCTCATTTCGCAGCCTTTGATTTTGTGGCTTTAGAAGAAAGTTGTCTCTATTGAAACAGCTGGAAAGCTACCTTAGAAGAGAAGTCATTTGCTTTTTTTTCCCCCTGTGATTATACACGGTATGCAAATTAGTTTGTGGGGAGCAGTAAGACTGTGCTATCATTGAGGAAAAGTGATTCTTAAAGTCACTTGGATGAGGTCATGATCCTGGAACTGCCTTAAGTGTTATGGTTTTATGACTTTATGAGTTCCAGGCATATGGCGGGATTAATTTAGGCTGCTGAATTCAATCTGTTTAGATACTTGGAAAGAGCTGTCCTATCTCCCCCCCCCCCCCCCCCCCCCCCCCCCCCCCGCTCCCAAGGATGATAGCGAAGGAACTGGCATCTTAAAAAGCCATACTCTTTTTTTAAAAAAAGATCATGATCTTCTCTCAAACACTCATTGCAGAGTGACAAGTGACGGGATTATTGATACTACTCAGAACAATGGCGGTAGCAGCAACTGGATATCAATCCTAGCAATTCCTTTTTTTCCCCCTCTTTATATTTCTTTTGATTGACTGATTGGTTGTGTGCTATCAAGTCATTTTCAACTCCTGGAATCCAGACAGATTTTTCTCCATGATGATCTATTCCAAACCATAAGGGTTGAAAGATCAGGGTAGCGCAGAAGTTCCAGTTCAGAACATATATTGTTCAACCTTACATGCAAGAATCTAGTCAACTAACATACAATACTAAATGGGTGCTAGATAAGGATCAATGGAATTCAATAGGGGTTGGACATACACCATTTATGGGAACATAAAAAAATCTAGGCTAATGACTATGTTAACTCCACCCCCCTAGTCAGCCTGTTCTTCTCCTATGTGCTAACCTGTTCTTTGAAATCTCCCAATGGTGCCCTTGTCACCCAATTGTCCTCTTCTTTTCTTCCCTTCCATCTTTCCCAGAGAGCGGGGTCTTTTTGTAGTATGTCCAAAGTAAGGTCATTTGAACTTGAATTGGTTTATTCAATTGCTTTGTTTTCTGGGTTGTCCATGGTATTCTCAGGGTTCTTCTAAAATGCCAAAGTTGAAAGGCATCGATATTTTTCCTATCTTGCTTCTTCAAGGTCCATTTTTTTCTTCCACAGAGCATCACAGAGAATACTTCAGCTTGCCTGATTTTGAATTTTGTAGATTTAGACACACCGTGGATTTTTGAATATATTTTTTTCCCAAGGCCTAGCGCTCTACCAAGTGCTAGTCTGATGTATTCCATCTTCAAAATAATTTTATTAAAGACATTTTTAACAAAGTAGAAACTCTAAAAGAAAATAAGGGAAAATAGTGGGGGAGGGAAGTGCTTGGCTATTGGGGCCACTGATAAAGAGAATTTCAGTGAAGACAGAAGAGGTAAATTTTGGGCACAGTGAATTGGGGATTGGCAACAGATGAAAGAAGATTTATCTTTTTCTTTCTCTTTCTTTCTTTTACTTTCTTCCTTCTTTTCCTCCTCCTCCTCCTCCTCCTCCTCCTCCTCCTCCTCCTCCTCCTCCTCCTCCTCCTCCTCCTCCTCCTCCTCCCCTTCCTTCCTTCCTTCCTTCCTTCCTTCCTTCCTTCCTTCCTTCCTTCCTTCCTTCCTTCCTTCCTTTCTCCCCATGAAATTGCTACATGGCTGTTCATTCTATAGTAACCATCTTAAATGCAGAGAAAGACATTCAACAACCACTTGAGTTTCTTCAGTAGCAGATATGGACCCAGGAGATGTGGAGATGGAAAAGAGGGACAGGAAGAGAAGGAACAAAACCAAGAATTTATCTTTGGCTTGGATTTTATTTGAAGCCAATAATATGGAAACGAGGGGCTTACCAAACCAATCTTTATTTTGGACTGAGGTTTACAAACACAAATATTTTTTGTTGTGAATCTAGCTTGGAAGAAAATTAACACACCTCCAGATTTCCACATTGGATGTATACATCATGCTAACCTAGGCTTTGCTCAATTACATTTTCCTGAATAATTCACACTTGGTTAGGTTTTACAATATGTTGAGCCATAAACTCCAGTTTATAAATCAGAACGACTGGGTTGGCACAACACCGTACACCAAAAATCAAACAAATTTCCTCTATAACCCACCTCCGAATATGGTTGTTGATAGGAAACTCCTTAAAATTTTCGCAGGGTTGAATAATTTTTTTTTTTTGCTTTTGCTGGCTTTACTTCCCTTCTGACATGCAATCCATTTTGACACATTCTATTCCATTTACAAAGTTCATCAGTAGGTCCAGATTTATAGTGAAATATGGGGTAAAATATTTCTAAATTCCCAGCAGTATTTCCCATTTGTCTAATCTTAACAATTGAGTAATTATTGTCATGTTAATAAGCAGATGCAATGTCTTCCAAGTGAGGTCTTCCTGAATGCTCAAAATACTGATGAATATATGACAAACAATATGACGATGATGATGATTTGGCTGGTGTGTTAGAAATGTTCATGTAAGAACACACATTCCCTCCCACCCTCACCCTCAAATGGAAGGTGACAGGTGAAGTCAATAGTCAAGATTTGTAGGGTGTGGAGGGAAATACGAAATTAGGCTCAGGAGAATCCTTGACATTTGTTCATAAGCCATAGCTGGCATCTAACCCATAAATTGATTTCACTTGCTTGCAGAGGCTACATCCAGCCAATACATTAGAGCTTACTGAGATTCCCCTTCTCATTATTGTGTTTGACAGGAATGAGCTTGGGTTTTTTATAGAAAGAACATCCAATTTGGAGTGGTCTCATGAAAACCTGAAATGTGGTTCATGGATATTGCTGAAGCTCTCTTATGCCCAGGTGGACTGCAGTTTGGGAGAAATTCCTTGCTCGCCAGACGTCAACTGACTCCCAAGTTGTAGTTATGGAAAGGATGGTTGTCATCTACTTACGGTTGATGCTGAGATCACTTTTTTTTTTTCTGAACTGCCTGAGTTTATCCATATTTTAGTTGTGTCATGTTTGGTTTATCACAATGTGTTCTGTGTAGGGGTGCTTTTGATGGAAAATGCAATGGCTAGGGAACTGCTTGGTAAAAGGTGCAACGATCACTTGAGGTATTGAACAATATATTCTCCAGTTGCCAGCTTCTTAGGGGCACGAGTGAGTTTTTGGTTTGTTATTGTTGTTCAATTGCTGTCCAACTCTTTTTTGACCCCATGCTCAGTAGCACACCAGGCTCTCCTTTCCTCCCCTGTCTCCCAAAGTTTGCTCAAATTCATGTTCATTGGGTTTATGACCCTATCTATGTAACCATCTCTTCCTCTGTGTCAGCATTCCATGTAACCACCTCCAAATCAAAAGACTCCAAGACCATTGCTTTTTCAAAGATCCATTTTATTATAGACTAGCTCTATACCCGTGCTTTGCTATGAAATTATGTAATTGGACTTAGCTTTTGGGGAGGAAAATAAAGGGGAAAAATGTACCTCTGCGTACCACCATCCATTGGTATTCATCTGGCTAGCGTCCTGTCAGTGTGTGAGAGAGTTTAGGGTTGTTTGGAAACTGAAGCAGTATTTGCTGTGTGAGGAGACAGCAAGGAGCCTGGGTGTGGCTTAGCTCAACTGTTCTGTATTAAAGCTGGTTGCTGCTGTGAAACTAAAACTGAAACTCCTCTCCTCTGCTTGTGTTTTGCATTTGGAAGAGATTTCTTTTCAGGTGGGGAGGGGGAGTAGAACTCCTTAGCATCAGATTGTGTTAATAATATAGGAAATACTAATAACTCTGATGGTCATTTGGAAAAATCCTTTCTTAGTGAGCACCTAGAAGCCAAGAGGAACATACGTGCCAAATTTCCAGTTTGTAGGCTTTATGGTTCTGGAGATTTTGTGATGTGGGTATTTTGTTTTTATATCTATATAGATGTCATATTGGCACATCTGGGAGAAATCTGAATCTGAGAGTTCTGGGTTTTCCCCAACCCCCCCCCAAAAAAAACCCAAATCCAACCCCTGCACTCAATAGTCCATCACATGGTCCAATCATTACTTCATCCCAACTGGAAACTATCCCCAGTCACTCTCCTCCAGGTGCAGAGTAACATGTTCTAGACCAGGGGTATCCAACCTTGGCAACTTTAAGACTTGTGGACTTCAACTCCCAGAATTCCTCAGCCAGCAAAACTTTCTAGACTTTCTGAGAAAGGAATGTTGTTGTGGCTATTCTCCCACCACTCCTTGAAGTCCCCCTCTCAAATTCCCAGGTACTGAATGGGGCAGCCCAGAAGCCTCAAAGCAAAATGGCTTCCAAGCAGGGTCTTCTCCAAGGAATCTTCTCTTCTCATTTGCTGGCCAAAGTATTTGAGTTTCAACTTCAGCATCTGTCCTTCCAAAGGACTGTCAGGGTGGGTTTCCTTTAGAATTGAGTGATTGGATCTCCTTGCAGTCTGAGGGACTCACGAGAGTCTTCTCCAGCACCACAACTCAAAAGCACTAATTCATCAGTGCTAAACCTTCCTTATGGTCCAATTCTTACGGTCGCACATTATTACTGGGAAAACCAGAGCTTTGACTCGAGAATCTTTTGGTATTAACTGTTAAAGCCCTAAACAAGCTTCAGACCTGACTAAGCTGTATTTCTCCTTACAAACTTGCCCAAGCACTTGGCAAATCTGCCCATAAAAATGCCAAATCCCATCCAAGCATCTGGCTGATTGTGCAACCAGCCATAAATTCCATTGTATGCTGCCTGATTACCAACAAACCTTGATCTGTTCACTTTTCTACTGTAAAAAATTGGGCTTCTTCTCCTCCTTTCCTCTCTCCCTCCCTCCTTTTCTCTCTCTGTCCTTCAAAAGAAAAAGAGAAAATCATCCAACCAATTTCTTAATACTTTGGAGAACACTGTGAAGTTGTGAATCCCCCATCCCTTAAGGATCTCACATGAAAATGAGAACTTTTATACCAATTTGTGGGACGCTCTCCGATTTGGGAAAAATGGAGGGCTTACAGACACTGCAACAAACCATAGCTTCTTTAGGAAACAAGTCACAAAATTTGTTAAGTCAAAACTAAATAAACACACGTTATACAATTTGGTGCAATATAAACCAGGATGTTGAATTGGGGCAGGTTTGAGGAAAAGTTGGCCAGCCAAAGATTTCTGAATTACAGACCTTTGGTTTTTATGACTGAGTTTATGGTAGGCATGATCCAGAAATCTCTAAAGGACCATAGAAGATATCTCTGGGCTTCATACCAAGCCTTTTAAGGGACATGGTGGCTCAGTGGCTAAGATGCTGAGCTTGTCGATTGAAAGGTCGGCAGTTCAGCAGTTCGAATCCCTAGCGCCGCGTAACTGAGTGAGCTCCCTTTCCTTGTCCCAGCTTCTGCCAACCTAACAGTTCGAAAGCAGGTTAAAAAATGCAAGCAGAAAAATAGGGACCCCTTTGGTGGGAAGGGAACAGCATTCTGTGCACC